TTGTTATCGTACCGTAAATGCAAAAATTAACGAATTTAAAACGAAATAACGAATTAACGAATTAAAACCGACGGGCCTAACAGATGCATATATAAATTGTAATAATAAAATGTATGGGGAAACAACATATCTCATGAAAACTTTGCATTTGTATCTTTTAAAATATATTTGTAAGATAATAACATACATTTCCAAGTTTTTTGTCATTTATGAGTAACAACACGTAAATAGGTGCAAGAAATATATATCCTTATATAAATAACTGTTTTCAATTTTATTGAGATTCAGAGGAGCAGCGTCCTTCAACTGTTTTAAATACTTCCCCACTTGACTTGACTCTGTGTGATTTATTTCCCTAGAGTGAGAGGTTTGTCCTGGTGGAGTGAGGCAGGGGAAGCCTGGAGACCACATGGCTGCTCCTAGCAGGCTTTTGCAACTGGGAAGGACCTCCTCAGCATCTGGCCAATGGCATCTTCATATTTTTGCTGTTCTGACAAACTGGGCCATCCTAATGAGAATGACTGGGACTTTGGCAGCAGATCCAAATGGTTGCCAAGACTATTCAAAGGAGGATTGGTGAGGGTGACGGAGCTCTTTGTGGGGGTTGGCGCAGAGCATTTTCACACAACACACCTAGGGACTACAGACAACACACTGGTGTGTCACAACACACATTTTGGAAAACTGGATAATTTAGACTGACTATAAAGGTCATAACAGAATTTTGTCTAGAAATAGACCAGCAGCCAGTTAAGCTTTTTCAACAGGACGTTATGTACAAGAAGCCTTAAAGTGGTCGCTAAAAGGTTCAAAATATTTTTTGTTTACTTATGAAAGACTTATTTTATATGGCTGTCTTTATTTCACATGTGCATGTTGTTAATTTTAAATAAAGGTTTTGGTGAAAAATAACAGTGCTCTTCTTTTTTGTGGGATTAGAGCTTATTCCTATTCTTTCCATATTATTTCTTCTTCTAATATTAAACTTTCTGCTAGCGAAGTAATGCCCAGGAATACATCTGCCTTGTTAACTTACATCATAGACCTGTTATGCATGTACATATGTTTGTGCATACCTAGCTTCCTCTTGAAATATTTACGTCTTCAAAAAAGAGTATTCATTGGGAAGCTCACCCAAGACATATTTCTACAGAGTGAGAAAGTACTGCAAATGAAAAATCCATTTTGGAAAGGGATAAAAACTCTCTCAGGAGCATTCAGTAAGTTCAATATGAATAATGCATGTCTTTATGCACTGAGAAACTGGGCATAATTAGAAAGTGATCAGTGTAATTTAG